TACTTATATATATATATATATATATATATATATAAGAAATAGGACTTAATTAAATGCAAAATCAAGTATTAGACTAAACTTTTTCTAGTAAAGAAAATAAATTGTTTTTTTGAGTGATCATTTTTCAACTCAAAAATAGAGGCTTTCTTTGAAAACGGAGAGTAATCGCAGAAAGCGTGGTGAGGTTGAGGATCAATTGATGATCTCGAAAATACAGTCATTTCGAGCAGAAATGGGCAAGAAGACCGAAAGAAACCCGAATTATGGTGTTATCTTCCCTCCTTGCCGAAAGCTGAAAAGGAAGTTGTTCTTGATAAATCTCTTACTAACTTAGAATTATGTACATATTATGTACATATAATTATATACATATATACATATATATATATATGTATATACAGAAATAAATAACTAAATACATATCTTTGCGAGATTAGGTCAGGAAAGACGTAAGTAATGCCATATTCTGCTCTGGATTCCACAGAACCCAATACACAACTGACAGGCGGAAATGTGTGTAAGCAATACGAGTCTAATGATAAATAATCCTTAAACCACCTTATGCAACATATATATAAATAAATAAATAAATAAATGCATAAATACATAAATACACAAATAAATGTATTGCAGGAATATATATATATATATATTAATTAATTAATTAATTACAAAATAAATAAATACATACATACATCAATAAATTTATTGCATGAGTATATATATATAAATAAATAAATAAATAAATACATACATAAATAAATGTATTGCATGAATATATATATATATAAATAAGTACATACATACATAAATAAATATATTGCATGAATATATATATATATATATATATATACATAAGTACATACATACATAAATAAATGTATTACGTGAGTATATATATATATATATTAATTAATTAATTAATGATTATATAAATTAATAAATAAATACATACATACATACATAAATGTATTACATGAATATATATATATATATATATACATAAATACATACATACATAAATAAATGTATTGCATGAATATATATATATATAAATAAATAAATAAATTTATTGCATGAATATATATATATATATATATATATTTATTAATTAATATATAAATAAATAAATACATACATACATCAATAAATGTATTGCTTGAGTATATATATAAGCAATACGAGTCTATTGATAATTAATCCTTAAACCACCTTTGGCGACTTTGGGTGCCCTTATTCGGCAATTATGGTTTGATTTGGAATATACTCACCTCAGAAATGTGTAGCAAGAGCGCCTTTATGCCGTCATATCTAAAATGGCTGAAATCGTTTTTATCGTCAATATGCTTAAGCGAAATGTGCCATGACGTCAACTCATTTGTTTGTGATAAATGCTGAGTAAAATTATTTTGCTCGTAATTCCCATTTTATGCTGGCCCAAAGAAGTCGCTGTAGAGGCAATCTTTCGTGGAGTGCTGCTTGAGAGCCAGAAGTCGGCTGTTTGAAAGCCAATCTGAAATGAGCTTCTCCCGCCTCTCGAATTTCAACGACGTGTCCTCTTGCCTGGCAACAAATGCAGTTTAGGTGGCGAGTACGAAATCCTGAAAATTATTACAACATAAAGACCCTTCAGCATGGATACTAGCCAGACCTGATTTAGAGATCTAGACCCAAATGTGACATGCAAGAATGTGCTAGTTTTAATTTTTCTGGAATATGTAAAAAAAAATAATTTTAAAGGAACCTAAATTAGTTTCAGAATTGGCTTACATATCGGTTTGATTCAACATGCCTAGTCACTCTTTTGGAGCGCATTTTTGTCTGGTCAAATTGGAGCGCTTCTGCTATTCCAGAGAAAATGTGCTCAATTTTCATCATCCGCTACTTCAAGAAA